TCCAGGCAGAGGCAACTGCCAACACCCTCTCTTCAGGCAAGCAGCAGTAGGTGGTTATAAGTCAGACTATGAAGACAAATGAAAATACAGAACAAAACTGCATGCTGCCCTAACTGTGCAGCTGAAGCACGTGTTAAGACTCACAGTGTGGGTGTGATTGTATTTTCCACCTCTGAATGAAATGTTTAGATGTTTTGTCTTTAGCCATGCTGTTTCCAAAAGGGTGTGTTTTAAAACCAGGGTCCATGGAAATGTTTTTCAGAACAGAATTTCAGTTTACAAACAAATTCTAACACATATGAGAGTAAAGAAGACTTCATAAAGCCAGTTCAGCATGAACAAACAGGAGTCCAGATCTGTTCCCTGTCTTGAATGAACAGTGGATTGGGCCTGACAGCTGGAATACTGGAGATGACAATATCAGCCTGAGCTGTTCCTCCCATAGGCAAGGAATAGATGCAGATCCTACAGATCGATATAGTCCACTACACAGCTGAAATGGAAAATGGCTTTAGATGTCAGATCAGACTGCTGCCTTTTGCCTATGGTTTCAGCCCATTAACTGAGGAAGGGATGCACCTAAAACAGGTGTCACCAGACCTTTCAACTTTGAATGGCTGATCAGCTGCCAGTTGGCTATTTACAATAAGAGATAAAACAAGGTTTCTGACAGCCAAACTTCCTCTGCTCTCTCTTCCTCCTCCCACAGCTGAGCAGGCTCTGATCTGAAAATGCTCCTGCGCCAGTGACCAGACAGCATTACCCCCGTGAAGCACAAGCCTGACCCAGTTTGACTCAATGTTCAATTTTGAATGGCACACAGCCAAGTTGCTACCAGTTGGATTATTCATGCTGCAATAGGAAGCAATCTTTCTGACATGCAAACTTCCTTCTTCTGCTGCCTGAGCAGCAGTGCAGGCAGTCAAAGATGCTGAGTTAGATAAAGAGCAGTTTGACTGCAAAGATACAAGTCTTGACTCACGGCTCCACTTCAGCTTCATTGTGCTACCCAGTAACAAAAACCACCAGTACCCATGGCAGATCCTGGGAAGACAAAGCAGTTATACTTGCAAATAGAGAATTTCTGTTACAGATCCTATAACAGCACTCATTTTACATTCACGTGAAAGAGATTTGGAAATCTCTGATAAATTGATCGGGCAATCCAATCTCAATTAGAATTCAGGATGCCAGTGCCAAATTTGTTTAGATTCACCTTGCTTCAATAACCTATTACAACGGGCTTCACAATCAGAGCATCAAACTGGTTATGTGAGGTCACTTCTTCCTCTTGCTTTCCCTCCCCTTGGAAATTCTTCATCCTACAAAAGAAAAAAATATGGCTGCACCAGCCTGCAATAGACTTCACTAATCTCATCACTTGAACTGCTGAGCAATACAGTGTCTGGAGAACAGGAAGATAGAAGAATTAGTCGTGCTATTTAAAAACAAGGCACCGATATAAATCGCACGTTTCACAAGGGCTACATCAGGCCCTTAGATTTTACTTATATGAAGGGGAAAGGAGAGGGTTGGTGTATAACAAGGAAAGAAATGGAAAGTCTTTATTTTAGTTCCTAATTCAAACAGGAATGATCTGTGATGGCTCACACTATCACACACTTCCATTAATTTTACTCTCCCTCCTTGCTTGTCATGCCGTTGTAGCAGTGTATCTGTGGGACTGGTTTACTTTCCAGTCCTGGAAGAAGGGTGGCAGGTAGTAGGGATCTGCCTTACAGTTCAGATGAGTAACGGTAAATCAAAGTCTGTGATAAGACTTAGTAGAAGTGCTCAAGGAAACCGAAAGCCCTGAAACTAGGTTGTAATTCATGGAGTATAGAGTTCTTCGATAAGTGAGACAGATAAGAAATTTACAGCAGGAATAATTCAAGAGCACTAGCCCTTAGACAATAACTTATCCCCCAACTTTTTTCATAACTGTGACTGTGGTATTTTTATGTCAGGTTCCTGTGAGCTTCTTTCACCTCTGGCAGATCTCCATTAATTTTCCAAAGGCTGAGAGCTAAGCTTGGACAACCCACTCTCTCCCAAAGCTCTCATGTCTCAGAGGAATATGCTGTTTCACATTGATTGAAAACAGCCCAGGTCACAGAGGCCAGCACCCAGGGAACTTCCCCTAGAAGTGAAGTCTTTGTGCTAACCACATCTTATGGTAGGGGTGGTCCATGTCACCACTGAGTGGACAGGGAGAGGACAACGCAGTGACTTCTGCTAATTTCAGCAGTGTGTAGTATGCAAGGAAAAAAAGCTAGTAGCGTTTAGATTCCTGATCTTTTTTTTTCTGACAAAGATCTATAGTTGCTTAAACCTGTGCAAAAGCTGAGGAGTAAAGTTAATGAAGGCAGCAGATTTTAGAAAAACTGTGGCTATGGTTGGAATAACAAGTACCCTACCATATAATTCTGCATTCAGGCAGGGCTTCTGATGTAAAACAAATTACTTCTGGAGTGCTAAGGGTCTGCGGGTGTGTTGCTCTCTATTTACAAAGAACGTACGCAGAATTCTGTCTCCTTGAATACAGTAGAGACAAACAACAGGAGGCAGTTTCTTTGTTCTGTAAATCAAGCCAGTTTTATGCCAGCATTCTGTCCAAAATTAGTCCTTTCTCTCCCTCTTTGGATTTCTTCCAGGCTTATTCTACTAGCTCTTCCTTGGCTGGCCATAGCTGGTTTTGATTGCGGTTTTGTTAGGTTCGCTTCTCACTTGCACATATGCACCTTTGCAACTGAATCAGAATCTATCATCAGTATTTGCAGAATGTCACAGAGAAAGCTTTTTGAGTGGCACTGCCCAGGTTTTCCTTAGAACCTTCCTGGTCTGTATTTGGGTAGGAATTTCTACTGTTTCATTTGTTGACAAATGAAAGGATACTGAATTATTTTATAAGTGATCTTCTGTGATACTAGCAGCCAGTCAGTCCGCCATACTGACAGCTGAGACCACTGATATATCAGCTATGAGCCCTGGCAGCATCCTCCAGCCTAACAAATAGTTGTGCTTATTGTAAGAAAACAAGTTAGTGCACAAAGGAATTCAGCCAGCAGGTTGCATGATCGAAACTGGGAGGATGGGTCTGAATTAACTGAAGATGTGCATTTAGAGAAACATTCATACAGCTTCAGATTGTTATGTAGTAAGGTATCTTGATTCTGACTTAAGAAAATTCCCTTTGAATTTGAGTTAAGCTACATGAGGCTTTACTCTGAAAAACAGTATACAAAACAGGAATTAAATGCAGGTTCTCTAATCCATTTTAAAATTAGTTTCGTTTCAAAACCTTGAGGGTCACCTTGTGCGTCAAAAAGCACAACCGTTACCTCCCTGGCTCCTTTCATGACACCCATGAAAATGAAATATGTCTGGTCAGTGTAATATTAATATATGCTGACATGCTTGAAGCAATATGTAACATGCACTCAGCACTGTTCTGAAAAATAACTCTTCTTGATGATACACAGAACAGAGAAGTATAACAATGCAATTTCTCCTCCAAATTTGCTCGCAGCAGCAGAGTTGATAGAGATGGCTTATTAACACTGCAATTTAGTAAATGCTTTGTTGTCTGGAAGGGCGACATGTCCCTGGCTGGTTCATTTAATTCATCAATGGAAAAATGATGTAAGCAAGCCACTGGCTTGTCCATGAATTTTAGAAATCCAGCCTAATGGGAATGGCAGTTTGATTTGAAGGAAAATGAATATTTGTGGAAATACAAATCTTGGGAATCCTGATCCCAGAAAAAAAAAAAAAAATCCAAATTTATAAACTTCTGAATTTTCTGAAATGACATCAATAATGACAAGAGGTTTTTACACTTATTTGCGTCATGAATGGTTCCACTGTCATATTTTCATAGTTTTTAATCCAAGAGTGCCAAATTCTGTTTTCACTCTAAAAATGAAGGATTGGTAGCAGTAAAGTAACAAGTTCTGTTTGATTTACTGAAAATTGCCTTAGAAAAATTCTTTCTGCACTCAAGATTGTGGGATTCCCCTTTAGGACAGTAATTGTCTCAGCCTATAAATGTACTCTTCCTGTCCTTCTGTATTACCATTCATAGACCTCACAACAAACAAATACACTTACATCTCCCTCTGCCAGCTGTGCAAATTGAATGGCTTCCTAATGAGCAGTCATCTTACCTGGATAAAGGTAAATAGCAGAAACACACGTTTATCTCCCCAAAATGTTTGAATATAAAGAAAAATCTAATTCATATTTTACTCTAGAAAAAAAAGGAGAGCTGGAGGGAGCTAGAAATGCAAGCTAACTCATGCTAGGAATAAATAATAAAAACAATCTATGTTATTTATATAATACCATCTGAAAACATAAAATAATCTACTTTTTTTTCAGAATAGATTACAAAAGAATCTCTGAATATTTTCTGAAGTAAAACCCTTTCTGAGGACAAAAATTGTAGTTGAAATCAATATAGCTTGGTGGGAGAGAAATAAGTTGATGTGAAACTTCTTTCTCTGACACACTACTTAGTAAGTTTCTCAGCCATAGTCATTCCTGGCCTTATAAAAAGTTCAGCTGTTCTCTAAAGCTTGAAAACTCAAATGGTTGTTCTATGTGTTGTGCTGTTTTCCTTTGACTTTTCCCCTTCCTTTGAAATGTAAACCCATGACAGATCTCTCTATTTGTTTATCTTTTACAGCACAGAGCTGTGCACATTTCTTGTTCTATACAGATGATTAATAATGTCACGACTCTTTAGCCACTGACTAGTAAGTAACGCTTTGCTTCTTACCCCCTGCTTCATAATTTGAAGTCTCCCACCCCCATGCATGACACACAGGACTGTCATTCTCTTTCACTGTCATTTCCTTCTATTTTATCTAAGTGTTTCAGAGTTTTCCCCAGGAAATTCTTTTCTATTCATTTTTAGTGTTTTCAGGGAGCAAACAAGATGAAAGCTTAATGAAAAAAATGTTGTCTTTCTTGACATTACTGTAAATATAGCTGATGTTTCCCTTTTTGTAGCTATGTAGGATGCAATCTGAAAACATATTAAGGCAAATAGCAGATAGTGAAGCCTTCGTTTTACAGCACAGCAGACACTTTATTGAAAATGGGTACCTCTCTAAGTCAGCCAGAATGCAAGGCAAAGTCAGAGCAACAGGTTGAGAGACTTCAGTAGGTATTTAAAACCTGACTGCTCCTTTCCACAGAAAGATGTCTTAATAAACTATTTATTCACTCTTTTTAGTGGCTTTAAACACATGAATATGACCTAACAGCCTTCTTACATAGAAAATGGGAAATAACTCATTTGAAGTCAGGTTGTTCTAATGTCTTCTATCCTGGCAAAGCAGGTAAGAACATTTTTCTTTTCTTTGGCTACTTCTCTGCTATAAGCACCATACAGAAGATGAAATGTCTCTTCATATATTTTACCGGCAGCTACAGTCACTGTGCAGACAACTTGCTGAACATTGTCTTCCAGAATGTCCACCTGATAATCTGATTGAGTAGTATGGTAAGTAAAAAAAAGCCCCATAGTTCTCAGTAGTTTCTCTATCTTTAGTTACGTCTTCTTTCTTAAAATATACTAATTGTTCTAACAGGTAGGAAAACTTGACAAAGAAGAATTCCATGTTACTATGGAAATTGCAACTTGGCACACTGACAAAAGAAAATAGATTTATTGCATTAATAATTTTAGCAGCTGAAGAGGGCATGATGTTTATAGAGAATCATTGAATGACTGAAGTTGGAAGGGCTATCTAAACTGCATTTCAAAATGGGACAAATTGCTCAGAGCATTTACCAGTTGAATTCTGAGTATTTCCCAAGGATGGAGACTCCAATATCTCTCTGAGCAACCTATTCCAGAGTTTGACCACCAGGTGAAAATTGTTTCTTATTCCTATGTTCCAGTTTGTGCCTGCTGCCTCCTGTACAACAGCAGCGCACATCCAAGAAGAGTCTAGCTCTGTCTTCTCTATATATTCCCAATGATACAGTCTTAGTAGTACAAAGATATTCACTGCAAAGATAATTTCCAGTCACTCCATAACATTGCATTAGTTTATTCCACGCCAAGACTTTGAACTTGTTATTCTTCATGAGATTCCAGTCATCTCATTTCTCCAGCAATTTGACAATTTCTGGCACGTGTCTGCATGTCCTCTATCAGCCACTATGTCAGCCTGATATCTTTGGGCTTGCTGAGGCTGAACTTCCTTTCATCCAGGTCATTGGCAAAGATGTTTAGCAGTGTGGGTTTTAGTATCTGCCCACAAGGGATACAAATAACCAGCCAACAGCTGGGCTGTATACCTTTGACCACACAACACCCGGTTAGAGACAGTAGCCTCTTAGCTCCTAAGCACTTACACAGATACACTGATTTTTGCCTGTTTCTTTTCATACAGTAATTTTGACCCTGCTGTTATAAGTTAGTTAATGATTTTCTGTTGCCATTTGGTCTGGTACTGTTTGATGACCTGAAGGTCATGTCAAAGGAGTGAAGGAAGGAATAGGAGCCTATGTAGAAAAAACAACATGATTTTATGGCTCTTGGTACACACTACATCAAATTTCTGTTTGACACAGATTTTTTTCACACAGAATGCTGTTTCCTTCTACTGACCAGGATTCCTACCTTGATGAAGATTCTGGTAAGGTAGCATATATTCTCATGGTTATATATTGTGCTTGTATAGCCAAAATGTATGATAGAAGATGTAGTTCAGTCATCTTTGCAAAGGTACCATTCAGAAAAAAAAATCATTGATATTAATTGAAATGTGATAAACTTCAGCCACAAAGAAAACCTTTACAGATTTTGAGGAACTCTTTTTTTTTCCTTCATGATAAACTAAAAATCTGTCAGGAAAAAAAATACCAAAAACTTAGTTTTCTCCTGAAGAGCAGTTTAGAAAATATGTCTAATCGAGGAAAGTGTGGTTTGTCACTGGAACTTAGCTGAAAATTAAGTCCTGTCATTCAAAAGTAAAGACAGGACTTAATGGCACAATTATATTCACTTTGTAAAATCCCCAAAGTCACTCTAATAATAAAAAGCTTGCCTGTAAGCTTCTATTCAAACATATGTTGAAATTATTCAAATGAATATTTTAAATATGTATTTGGGTATTGAATACCCAAGCTACACACGCAACACCTCCATCTTGGTAGCAGAGTTTATTAGATGTAGGATAGTGTGGATTGTCTGTTTTTTTTCCTTAAAATATTTCTATAATTAAGGATAACCACACTCATTTACAAATGTTAAAATAATCATATGGTGTTAGGGGAGCAAAATAAAAGAGTTGCCCGATATCTCCTATTCTTCAGACCTCAGTTCTGTTTTCCCTGTCCTCAGCATCCACGTGACCTCATAAATACTTAACATGCTTTAACAAATCTCCATTACTTTATTTCTCAGGATATTGCAACTACTTCCTTGTACCTTGCAGTAAAAGTGTTAGAATAGTAGCTCATGTATCATTATCCTTGCATGACATCAGTTCTTGCAAATATCTTTCTAGCAGATACGTTAGTGGTTTCCAATTGAATTTGTGTAAATATTTTGTGCTATTAAACTAGAACTCACCTAATTTTGCACCTGTCCCTTCCTCAGTTTAAACAATCCACACATATTTCTCCTTCCTGCTATTGTTCTCCCATATAGGAAAAGTAAAGGAGCTCCAGAGTGTGCAAACTTTAAAGGAAATTACATTAATATATATTATAAAGGCACATACATAAATAATGAGCTAGCGAGTGCCTGGGTTGAGTTGAGTTTGCAATGGAGAAAATCAATCCCATCAATCCATCCCATCAAAAGTATTTTCTCCCTCCCCCCTAATTTACAGGTATCTACTCCTCTTTTTTTTTTTTTTTTTTTTTGCACCTATAGTGTACATGCAGATCCCATTTCACTCAGTAGCCTAATAGCAATGTGGCTATTTATTTTCTTGGCAGATGAACTATATATAGGTTGCTCCGAAAGTAATGCCTTCTATTTATTCCATGGAAACTACAACAGCTATAAAGAGTACAATAACACTATTGATAGAGCAAATTTTCAGCTACAAGATGCTGTTTTTCAACAGAGTCACCATAATTAGTTATGCATTTCTGCCAGCCATGAGCAACAGTCTGCATGCTGTGCACATGAAGATCTGCATGGCTGTCCAGAACACGGCTTGTCTTTCACATTGCTGTCATCACTGCTGAAACACAACACCTACCACATGACTGTGCTCACATCCTCTGGTTTGTCTTGAGATCAATAAAAATTTATTGTGTTTATAGCACACAATTCCAGGGTGTCAAGCATATGCACAAAGAAGGGTCAGGCTTAGTCAAAAACAGCGGTCTTACTTTTCACCTTGCCTCACTTGAATGTTATTCCTTCCTGCTTAGAACCACTACACTGTACCACATAACTCAGTTCTTAAAGAAAAAATCATTAGACCTGTATGTCCCTGAATTCCATCCCACCTTGTTGTCATTTTAGTGCTCAGCAATTATATGATTGAAATAGAGTACATGTGGATGAACAGTGGATCTAGGGTAAGCATTATTGGCCCTGGAAAAGTTTTGAAGTGTTTTGTAGCTCACAGACAGCTTAAGACAAGATTTATTCATCTTGCTCACAATATACAGGAAAAGTATGAATAGAAAGTGGATGGAATGGTAAAGTTGCTATGCAGCTACCACTCTTCATGGTTGAGCATCTGGAATATAATGGAAAAAGCTTTTCTGACCACAATATTAGATCTCAAAGAAAAGACTGATTGAACTTTCATAATTATAATGACATATGAAAGTCCATGTTTAGATGATGCAGATACAAGGTGCAAAAACAGATAACTGAATTTCTGGTTTAGCATTTAAAAGTTAAATATCAACTGCATTCCACTAATATGCTCTGAAGCAGTATGTGGGCATTTTTCATACATTTCAGGAGTTTTCTCTAAATATAGTAATGTTTAGATATTACTACACTTCTAGCGACTCAGAGTAAGTGATATGAATCTTGGAAAAGTACTGGGTGTCTGTGTAGTGCAATAAAAAACATATTTAGAATAGAGAAGTCCATCATGAGCGTGATGGGATGTTTAGTTTTGATTTAGTGATTTGGTGATACACAATCTGTAAGTCAAGAGCAGAAAATGTCTTTGACCACAGTGTTCTTCTAATTGTTCTTTTATGTGCAGATGTGAATGGATGAAGGTCATCAAAGTCTCTAGAGCTTCTTTAAAACCATACTTAAATAACTTCAGCGTTATTCTTTATTTCTATTAGTCTTTGAAACTGTTCCAAAGATGCAATCACTTTCACAGAAGTATAGTTTGTGAAGCTCTTGAGAGTTAGTATCTCATACAGAAAATGATAGAGGACATATTTTTTATTGTACCACTGTCATAATAAGAAAAATTTTAATTCTGTGAAGAAAACCTTTTACACAACCAGGTGTTTCCTGAATGTTATCTCTTTTGATAGCTGAAAATAAGGGTATAATCAACTAAAATTGCAAACATTGTAGTGTAGAAAGCAGTGCATCATCTAATTACTTGGAAGGTCAACATAGCCAGTAAATGCTTGCTCTATATAAAAAATACCACTAAGCATAGTGCAGAATTCAGAAAGAATGAAATATGAATAAAAAATCATATGTGCTTGCAAGGAATCTCTGTGAAAACTTGTATCATAAATATATCAAACACAAAACAGAACTATGTTGAAAATATGGGCAAGTAGTTGGACTTAGGCAACAATTCTTACAAAGTCATTGAAGAAACTGCAGCTATCTTCCCAATGCATCAGAAGCATTAACTATATACTTCACCACATGTTCATCATAGAAGGAATTTTTTCTTTGTTTATGTGTCATACATTATTACTGTAAAATCAGCGAGTATTAAAGTAACTTGCTAAGTAGAATACAGTATTCTAGCAATATATAGAATTATTCTTTTGATATATTTTTTTTAGAATAACCAGAAAAACTCACACTTGCTCTCTAGATCCCCAGGTGCACATCTCTTCTGTACACCTAGAGTTTGCTTGAACTTTTGGCTCTATATTTGACACATGGAAACTAGAGATACCGTTTTTTCTATGCTTCAACACTTCTCACATTATCTTGCATTCCTTTGCTGCTGGCTGTAGCTGTTTCAGCGTGATGATATCTTAAACCAGGTCTGATTCCAGCAGTAAATGCTTTGTAATATTGTGAGCCAATCTCTTATTATTTCATCTCTCATGCTTCAAAGTGCACATGTGAATATCTGGTCCCATGAAACAGCAAAACACTGTTCTGGGTATTTGCCCATTATTTCTGTGCATGCTGCTAAAATGTACAGCATACAACTACAATATACAGCTTACGTACACAAGTAGTTTTTCTATGCCAGAAGTGCAGTATCACATTTATCATTAGCAGGAGGAAGTACACAAAACACCAGCTGGCTTTCAATGGGGTATGAAAGGAACATTTTCTTTCCTCACAAAGCCCTTTGGCCCTACTTACAAGTTGATAGTTTTTGAGTATTTGAATCCATCAATAGAAATTCACAATTCCATTCAAGCTTCACAAACACAGCATAGGTGGATCCAGATTCAGCAAAACATTTTTGCAACCATTTTGCTGATAAATTGCAATTTTAGAGCTTGAACAGCTGTCATAAAGAAGGGCTGCAGATACAGGCAGCAGCAGTGATGAGGCATACAAAGAATGATCTGTTTATAACAAAGATATAACAGGGCTTCTGCCTGCCTGAAGGCAAGATATGCGCTACACTGCCCAGCTCCAACACTACCCCATCGTAGGAAGAGAAAACAACTTACATGGATAAACGTCAATAAAGGAAAATAGCTTGCTTGCAGATCAGGGAAAATTGAAATAACCTTGCCAATAATGAGATATCCGTCATACAAAAAATCTGGGGTTTAGTCGCCAGATGAAAATGAAAATGAATGAAAAAAATGAATGAAAGAAAAAACAACATTTCAATGGACAAGGTCAAATTTGGATTTGTGCAATAGATTTCAAATGTACCATGATTTTTTCTGTGTTTCTGGATTGAAAATTGTTTCATTACTACAAACAGTACTTTCTTGAAATGCCTGACATTTTCAGATGTATACCTTCATTTTTTCCCTTGAGGTCATTTACAGAAACAGGAAGCACTCTCATTATGTTTCTACTCATTGTTTAAACAGCATTCTCTGAGCTGCCCTTTTAACCACATTTATGAAGTCTACAGACTGGATATCTGGTGTTGGAACCTAGAAGAAAATTCTCTAGTAGCAGAAATACAAAGAGCTCAACCAAAACAAAGTGAGATACAATAATTAATATTAGCAGAATTCTCGCTTCTATATCTTCTTGAGTTTCTAAAGAAGCCTGGGAGTTTCACATATCTCAATGAAGCCTAACAAGATGCTGTAATATGAAAGTACTTATACTGAAAGACAATCAAAATCCAATACTCTGTGTTTTATGAAGTCTGCAGGTTAACTAGCTGGAATTTAAGAACTGTAAATATTTCAAGATTTTAAGTTTCATGGTGTGTTAGAAAATTACATGGCCATGTCCATTCCCAATGTCTTCATGCACTTCTATTCCTGGCATGAGGAAGGGCTTTGAAAGTAAACCATCTGGTAAAAAACACTT